AGTATTGGCTTTTCCTAATATTGGAACTCTCTTTTCATTTCTTTTTATTTAATCATTTTTATCTTATTTGATATAAATTAAAGAAATTAATCATATCAATTTTTTTTTTTTTTTACATTAATACATAACATGAGGTAACTTCGTCTCATTTTTTATTTCACTTTATCTATATGTAATGTAATTTAAATTCATGATTTTTTACTTTCAATGAAAAGAGATTATTATTGAATTATTTAAGTTGTTCAATGATCATATGAATTTTAATTCTTAAAAATAATTGGATTTTAATTTATATTTTAAAACTAAAATTTTATATTATTAGATGTTGATATCTAAATATGAAAACTCATTATATATTTTAATATATCAATATTTAATAAGATAATTTTTTAAATTTTGAATTAAAATTTAATTAAATAAAACGATATAATTTAATGTTATAATTCTAATTATTTTTTAGAATCAGAACTGATAGTATTTTTTAAATTAAATTATAAAATATGTAATTTTTTTCAAAATAAAATATAGTATAAATATCAAAATAATTAAAGTATTATTAATAAGTTAATATGTGAGAGATTATCATTAATAATACTTGGATAATTTTATAACTCCAATTTTATTTTGACTGTGCAATTTTTTAAAAAAAATACTGTTATATTTTATTAGGGTAAAAAGGTGGTATGAAAATGATTAATTAATAAGAGGAGAAGATAGGAGAATTATTTGGTTAGGATAAACTAGAAAAATTTATAAATTCACATTTGAAATTTCATTTTTGTCGTTAACGAGGGTTCTAGTTTGTATTATGTTAATGGTAATAATGCAACTTTCCGTCAAACTGACTTCTATTTTTTCAATTTAAATTGAAAATTCTATTTTATAATTTAATTAAACAATAAAATAAATTTAAAGTCCTCCTTTTTGGAGTTGGGCCAAATGCCAACTTTTCATTTCTAAGGCTCTATTTGCAAATTGCAATGGAGCATCAGTAATAATTTAATGGTGAAAAGAGAGGGGGTGATTAAGCTGTTTAAGATGTATAATTAGACTATAATATCTTTAAAATTGAGTGGGATTAAAGTCTAATCTAAGATGTCCAAGGATCAAACACCACTATGTTTGGTCTGCCATTTTTTGGTTGTTTGATTAAAGGCGATGAGGCTTTGATTTGTGTTTGAGTGATAAGGGTAATTGTTGAAATGACCCTTTCATTGACTTTTAATTTGCCCCTTTTCGGTCCTAAAGAAAGTAGATGGTGTCCAAGGAAAAAGGTTCATTCCTTTACAGTACTAATTGACGTGTATCATGATAAGAAGAAGAAGAAGAAAAAAAAAAAAACTGTGTTTTTTTTATTTTTTTTTATTTTTTTATTTTTAAATGATTTAGAAGGAATGAGATTCAAACCATATGATTTTTCTACCTATGAATTGTCAGGTAAGTTGCATCTTGCATATGTCAACCTCACTGTTGTGTTGGGAAGAAAACTTCAGTTGTAATTAAGTAAAAATTTAGCGTATTATATGGTCGAATCTCAAATAAATTAGGTAGAATATAGTCTACATAAGTTATATTTTTGTTCACCTAAAATTATGTGTTAGTCGGACTTGATATATCACTGATGAGAAAGATTTACCTTCCAGTATCTTTTTTTTTTCTTTCGTTCACCTAAAAATTTTGATGTATATATTTTCTGCCAAATGATAGAGAATTTGTGCAGCACATAACTTTTGATTTTTCTTGCATTCAACATGACTTGGTTAGGGATAAGCCTTTCTTAGACTTTGATCCATAGTCTAGTTTCAAATTTTTGAATCTTTCTTGTCAAATAATGTAAAAGTTGGCCACCATTTACCGTTCAACTTAATTAGATTTATAATTTGTACATTTTGCAAATTTATTAGTACTAATTCATCATTAATCTTAATATTTCTTTTTGAGGTTTAACAATAAATTTAGTACAAATCTAAAAGTCGAGGGATTAAGTTATTATTTTGACCTTAATTTAAGAGCTAAATAGATCCTAAAACTATCTTCTAAAAACTATGACAAAAGATCGTTGCTTCATTCAATTTTCACTGCAATTTCCTTTTTCTGTTATTGTTTCTTATTCCTTGTCCAATTTTTTACTTTTCTATGAAATTTGATTTGGTACTTTCGAGTGGTGGCGCTGGTCATTACCTCCCAATGGGGACACAGGAGGTGATTAGTGGGAAAAAACCGATGGCTGGGTTATTGAATGAGGAATTGGCGAAGGTGAAGCAGAGATTGGGGTCACAGGTGCTGGAAATTGTTATAATTTTCCACTCAATTATCTTTGGAATGACGATGGGGTGAGTTAACAGAGAATAACGGAAAGCGAGTGTATGTAATAAAATGTGTAACCAAAGAGTGAGTCAGTAGTATTTTTCAAAAATTAAATATAAATAGCAATTAAATTTTATTTATTTTATATAAAATTTATTAACTGCTAAGTGTACTTAATAAAAATTACATAAAAAATATTTAATAAGAATTAAATATTTTTTAATAAATTATATTATTATTATTTTTTGATCTATTTAAGTATGGGTTATATAAGTAAGGATTATCTTGTTATATTCTCAAATTTCTTTTCACTCAATTTAAGATTTGAATTTGAAATTTTTAACTTAAAATTTTAATCTTATAACCATTGAATAATCTCATTAAATTAATTATTATTTTATATACTACTATATTGAATAATTTGTGAGGGAATTTCTTGTGTTTTCTTCCACACAAATATTCTATGTTGTTAAAGAAAAAATGGTCATTAACTTCGTCAAAGTTCGAACAGTTCCACCCTATTCAGTGGGGCGCACGCGCATAAAATGAGAATGCGGTTCTCTTCCCTCAAATCTTATTTCAGAGACATAAATGGAGAAGATCGAGAATGAGCGAAGGGCAAAAGAAAAAAGGAAAATTAAGTGAAAAGAAAAACAAAAACAAAAGAAAAGGAAAAGGTCTCATCATCTCATAGTCTGTCCGGTATTAAGGGGTCTCTCTCTTCCCCCCTTCCCACTTTAATCTTTTCACCTTTAACACATTCCTTTCTCCCTCAAATCCCAATATCACATCATCTTTCTTCGTTAAAATACCATCAATTCTGCATTCATTCTTTCACTCCTTATTTAGACAAACATATATCTTCTCTTCCTCTTCCCCCATCTCACGCCTGCTTTGTTTGCTTCTGTCTTTCTCCTTCTCCCATTATCATGTTCTAAAGGCTCCACCATTTTTTAGAAAAGAAAATATTGGAAAGAAACAAACTCAAGGGTGTGAGAGGGATCGGAGTGAGTTTGCATTGCTTCTAAGAATTCAAATGGGTTTTTGAATATCTTGTCGTTCTACCAATATACTTCAAGGGTTCTCCACAAGAAGGGTATAAACAAACCTAACTCTATATTATGTGTTCTTTGATCATTTAAGATGTTGATCTTTGGTTTAATTTGATTTTTGGTGTTTTTTTTATTTTTAAATAAAGTAGAAGGGATGATGGCGGTAACGTCGGCGTGCAAGGACGCGAACAAGGTGGCAATGGACAATGGGAAGTACGTCAGGTATACGCCAGAGCAGGTAGAGGCTCTGGAGAGACTCTACCATGAGTGTCCCAAGCCCAGCTCCATGCGCCGCCAGCAACTCATCAGGGAGTGTCCCATTCTCTCTAACATCGAGCCCAAGCAGATCAAAGTTTGGTTCCAAAATCGCAGGTAAATCTTCCAAATTTAAAAGTTTGTTTGTTTGTTCATATTCAAAGTTGAATTCTTTCCTTCTTTTTCTCTGGTGGTCCTTAGGTTTTTGAGTTTTGACCTTTGTCAGCTTGCGTGTCATTATGTTTGGTCCAAAGTTAGAAAGCTGAAATCGTTCCCATACTTTTGCAAGAATTTTATTTAATTTTCTCAGGAACCAAACAGATCATTTTAATTCTTTAAACTTTTTCCGTACAGATGCAGAGAGAAACAGCGGAAAGAGGCATCACGCCTACAAGGTGTGAATAGGAAACTGACTGCAATGAATAAACTATTAATGGAGGAGAACGATAGGTTGCAGAAGCAGGTCTCGCAATTAGTGTACGAGAACAGTTTCTTCCGCCAACAAACACAGAATGTAAGCAAGCACTCAATCGAATACCCAGACCCAGTAGTGTTTGGCTCCTCAGAAAATTGTTATCACACACCAAATTCCAAATATATACATATATATATACACACATCAGGAGATCGTTCAGGTTTTCTCTCTTTTTCTTTAAAATTTTAATGGGTTTTGATTTGATTTGTTTTCTAGGGGCAGGCGACGCTAGCCACCACAGACACGAGCTGTGAATCAGTGGTGACGAGCGGTCAGCACCATCTGACTCCGCAGCATCCGCCGAAGGATGCCAGCCCTGCAGGGTTAGTGGAATTTGTCAGCTTGCTTCTTCTTCATTTCTTGATGGGTCATTTTCTGTTTCTCTGTGGCTGATGCATTTTATGATTTTGTTTCTACTGTAGACTTCTGTCCATTGCAGAGGAAACTTTAGCAGAGTTTCTTTCAAAGGCCACTGGAACCGCTGTTGAGTGGGTCCAAATGCCTGGGATGAAGGTTACTAATTCTCTTTTACTTTTATTATTCTTTATTTTCTTTTTCTTCAATAAAGCCCACATCATTCTCTGTTAAATCATGCTCCATTAATTTTTGTCATTATCAAGATTTAAGTACAGAAATTAATCTTGCTAATCTTCTAAGCAAAATCCAACAGCATCATCACAATATATGGTACATGTACTATCCTGATCTTTTTTCAATTCCCCATTCTTTTTAAATCCAACTAATATTTTTTAAATCTTTCTTCTAAACGAAGTGAAAGGGAGTTAAAATTAAATTATTTTCTTTTGGAATCATAATGATTACATCTAGATATTCCACATGGAGAGGGAAAAACAATTAAACTTTCTCTATTGAAATTTTAGATAATATTATAGTCACAAAGATAGACGTTAAGGGGATACAAAAATATATAGTTATTTGGTTTAATTATTAAAAATAATTAATAATAAATAATTATTTAACAGTTTAAAATTAATATATAAGATGAAATGTTTATATATATTAACTAGTTATAAGTTGATAAAATCAAACAAACTGAACACACTTACATGTTTTGTCGTGGCCACAAACATGGGCCGAAATTTTATGTTTGTTATATGGTGCTTCTGCGTTTCTTCTGTGTTTACATGAGACATGTTTCATGAGTGCAGCCTGGTCCGGATTCCATTGGAATCGTTGCTATTTCTCATGGTTGCACTGGAGTGGCAGCTCGTGCATGTGGACTTGTGGGTCTTGATCCTACAAGGGTAGGTTTATCACTCTCTTTTTCGTGATTTGTATATAGAACAACTTTTCTCTGTTAGGAATTAACTGGGGGAATTAAGAAAAACTAATTAAATGATGATGTTCTCTACAGGTTGTTGAAATCCTTAAGGATCGGCCTTCATGGTTTCGTGATTGCCGAGCTGTGGATGTTGTAAACGCACTGTCCACTGGAAATAGTGGAACCGTCGAACTGCTTTACATGCAGGTAGATTTGAAAGTTTTCACATTTGCCATTGCAGGTTGAAATAAATCAGAGGTTTAGTACTTACTTTGATTGAATATTTATGAAAATTTCATTTCTTTCTTTCAGCTCTATGCACCAACAACTTTAGCATCAGCTCGTGATTTCTGGTTGCTGCGCTATACGTCTGTTATGGAGGATGGTAGTCTTGTGGTATGTGAATTTTATACCATGAAAAATATCTTGGACCGTTGGCAATTCCATTTCCATAGTCTTTCTAAAAAATTTTAATTATATATGTTGTGATTATCATTGCTGTTCTTCTTAGGTTTGTGAAAGATCACTCAACAACACTCAGAATGGTCCAAGTATGCCACCTGCACCAAATTTTGTGAGGGCAGAAATGCTGCCCAGTGGGTATCTGATTAGACCTTGTGAAGGGGGTGGATCCATCATTCATATAGTTGATCACATGGATTTAGAGGTATGCAAATCACCTTGGCTTTACCTGTGAGGTATAAAAGTTTTGCTCAAAGGATGAGCAACTCTAACTTTGTGATTACTGCTGTACAGCCTTGGAGTGTTCCTGAAGTGTTGCGCCCACTTTATGAATCGTCAACATTACTCGCTCAGAAAACAACAATGGCGGTAAAACCACTGTTTCTTACATCCATTTTGAGTTATAATCCATTTCCATTTTTGCTTGGCCCAGCTTTTTCTTTGCATAGAAAGATGTAGATTGCCATAAATTAACTTCTAACCTGTGGCAAACAATAATTCACATCTCATGCTCCTACATAACTTTGGCACGGCATGCAGGCTTTGCGCCATTTGAGGCAGATTTCTCAAGAAGTCTCTCAGCCAAGTGTCTCAGCTTGGGGGAGAAGACCTGCAGCTCTACGTGCATTTAGTCAGAGATTAAGCAAGTATGTTAATTCAAGTCTAAATATTCTTCTTTGATTAGTGAATTGATTGTTGACAAATGGAAATCTGACATTTATATATACACACAGGGGTTTTAATGAGGCTGTTAACGGATTTACTGATGAAGGCTGGTCTATGTTGGAAAGTGATGGTGTTGATGATGTTACCCTTCTTGTGAACTCATCTCCTGCAAAGATGATGGGTGTAAATCCTTCATTTTCTAATGGATTTCCTTCTATGGGCACAGCAATTTTATGTGCAAAAGCATCCATGTTGTTACAGGTGAGGTTTCTAGCTTTTATACTAGCACTCCAGCAGAATTCTATTGTGCACTGAAGTAGTATATGTGCATTCTAGCTTGTAACTTCTCTAACTAATCTTGCAAAACACATCTTTTACACTTCAACTTGTAGAATGTGCCTCCAGCAATTCTACTTAGATTCTTGCGAGAACATCGATCAGAGTGGGCAGATAGTGGTATTGATGCTTACTCAGCTGCTGCTATCAAAGCTGGTCCCTGCGGCTTACCAATCTCTCGATCAGGAACTTTTGGGGGTCAGGTTATTCTTCCACTGGCTCACACAATTGAGCATGAAGAGGTTAGTAAGTTGACAGCTGATTTTGGCACGTCTAGTATTGCCTTTGGCATTAGTTGAGAAAACTTACCCTCAAAGCTTGCTCTTACTTGTTTGTTATAGTTTATGGAGGTCATTAAGCTTGAAAGCATGGGCCACTATCGTGAGGACTTGATCATGCCTGGCGATGTCTTCCTCTTGCAGGTAAGTCAATTGTCACCCTTTTATTCAATCCTTTTTCTTTTGCTTAAGTACTTTAGGTTAATGAACACTTGGGGTCCATTTTTATTGTTGATTTTAATATTCACAGCTTTGTAGTGGAGTGGATGAAAATGCCATTGGCGCCTCTGCTGAACTCATCTTCACTCCTATTGATGCCTCATTTTCGGATGATGATGCACCTATTGTTCCTTCGGGTTTTCGCATTATTCCCCTTGATTCTGGAATGGTTAGTTCTCATTGATCATGATATTAATTAAGTTGTCATCTAAGATTCAGCTTCCTAATTCTTATTAAACTCTTTTCTTTTCAAAATTTTAGATTCTCTAATTTTTTTAACAATGTGTTTTTGTTAGTCCCTTAACTATTTCATTTCAATTCTAATGTAGGATGCTTCTAGTCCAAATCGTACTCTTGATCTTGCATCTACTCTTGAAGTTGGAGCAACCGGAAATAGAACAAGTGGCGATTATTCTGGCCGTTGTGGGAGCACAAAATCTGTCATGACAATAGCGTTTCAGTTTGTTTATGAAATCCACCTTCAAGAAAATGTGGCAACCATGGCTCGACAGTATGTTCGTAGTATTATTACCTCTGTCCAAAGGGTGGCATTGGCACTCTCACCTTCTCGTTTTGGCACTCATTCTGGTTTTCGGTCACCTCCTGGCACTCCTGAAGCACAAACACTTGCTCGGTGGATTTGTCAGAGCTATAGGTTTGTCTTTTGAAAATCTTCCTTCATTTATGTGCAATGCATACCAGAGGAGTACTGCACCTACACCACATTGTTCTGTTAACATGGCACTCCGGATTTTATGATAAGCCTTGTAGTTTGCAACATAGATCAATCCTAAATGTTTAAATTTGTAGCCACAGCACAAGTATCAGGAGGCAATAATTAACTCAGCCTTTGCATTTCTCTTTACAGGTGCTATCTGGGTGCAGAGTTACTCAAAACTGATGCAAACGAAGCCATACTCAAAAATCTTTGGCTTCACTCTGATGCAATTTTGTGCTGCTCTTTGAAGGTATTTTGTTTTCTCCACTGGCACATATGGTCCTAAGCATTTCCTCTTGTTAAAGGTCATTAAGTCTTAGCTAATATAGACGATACTCACTGAGTCACTGGCTGATTAAATATGGTTATTCCATTACCTACCAGAACATCAGTAGACCTTGATGGCATGTCATGTGTCATGTGTACTCATAAAAGCAAGTTAAAAACTGCTGATGAGAATATTCTAGCTGTGGATTGAAACTGTTAGAATCTGGTAGTCGGAGGCATAAAATGCAGAACTCCAGTTCAAGTTGGAGAGCAAGATAATAGCGTCAGCTTATATTATTTTTTGACATCAACTATGATAATTTATGCAGGCACTGCCAGTTTTTACATTTGCAAATCAAGCAGGACTTGACATGCTAGAGACAACCTTGGTTGCACTTCAGGACATCACTCTGGAGAAGATATTTGATGATAATGGACGAAAGGCCCTATTCTCAGACTTCCCACAAGTAATGCAGCAGGTAGCATACCTAAAATAAATAAATAAAGTATACATATAAAAGAAGAAAAAGTTGTATGCATTATCTTATGACAGAGTGAGAACTACCCCAAACCTACCCTTTCTCTTGAAACTAAAGAGTATTTATTTTCCCTCCTCCTTGGGCAGGGTTTTATGTGCCTTCAAGGTGGTATCTGCCTGTCAAGCATGGGACGGCCAATCTCCTACGAGAGAGCAGTGGCTTGGAAGGTATTAAATGATGAAGAAGATGCTCACTGCATCTGTTTCATGTTCTTCAACTGGTCTTTTGTGTGAACATTTGGCAGTAATTAGGATAGGGATAGGTAGATCAGAAGAACTTTTTTCTACTCTTAGGCCTTTTTTTAAGTGACATGATACTGTGTTAAATGTTGTAACAAATTACAAATGGTATCTTGGGCCTTGATTTTGGTTGCCCCATTTTTAACTTCCGCTTTATGCTTTATTATCGATCAATCATTATCCTCATTTCTTAGGCCTTACTTCTGTCGCACTTTTTTTTCTTCCTTTCAATATGATATCAGAACTCAAGTTATGATGTCTTATTTTACAATTTGAATACTCATTAGATGTAGGAGGATTGTCCTTAACTTTTTTTGGTTATGATATTTTGTTCTAGACAATTATTGTGGGCCGATGGCCCATCATTTATTAGGGCCAATCGTTTAAAGTTATCAACCAACACTCAGATTTAGATCCATTGTCTTTTTGATAAAAACAATAGGCCCAATATACTATAGCCCCCACTAAGCCTAGAACCAGAAAGATACTTTAGTTTTCCATTTTTAGCCGACGAAGGATAGTTTTTACGGTACTTTTCAGTGTTGCCATGTCTCCCTTGCTTGCAGTTCTTTTATTTTTCTAATGATTCTCCCTATGAAGGTTTAACTCTTGACCTTGATAAGGGAGGGGGCACCGGCGTCCTTCCTTCAAGATTTATTTTTTAAGCTTTCTTCAACGTTTTGGACCGTCTTTACTTGCTTCAAGGTAACTTTTTCTCGGACAATGAGCAATATGATGGTCTAATCCGAATTAACTACTAGAAGCAATGTCTATATGTCTAAAGTCTAAACTTACTTAGTTCAAGCACCTCAGCTCAATAGAAAATAATAATAATAATAATAGAAAATGGAGGCATTGGACTCAGCCGACTTTCGTGATTTCCCCTCCCTGTCTTTCCTTTCTTTCCCATTACATCCAAATGTCGTTTCCTTTTTCTAGACCGTCGGCCAAAATAGGAAGTTTCCATTGTTTCCTAATCTGGTGCCCATCTTTTTAAAACTATTCAATTAAGTCCTCAATTTCTAATTTGTTTAAGTAGCTCCAAAACTTTTCAAATCTGTACAGTTTAGTCCCCTTGTGTTTGCTTGTTACAATATGAGTATTTTCAATTCATCTCAATTGAACCCAAAACTTTCAATTCTCACTTTTATACCCATGCATGTTTGACTTGCTTTATTTAGGGCCACTAACTTAAAGCAATATTCTTTAGTTGAAATACCCCCCCCCCCAATTTAAAGTATGCAACCATTTTTTATTAGAAGATTATGAGGTGCGTATGTGTCATTTCTCACTTCTAACTAAAACCTCAAACCCTGACATCTTATATATCAATGGTGATTTACTATACATTTATTTGAGTCAGTGGTGACTATTATTTTTGTAACTAATATTTAATTTTTCAATTCATTTTGAAATTTTAAGTAGGCATTAACAAAGAACATAAGTTAAGGATATAATAAGTATACTTTTTTAATTTGGGTTGGAATGATAAGAATTAACATTCAATTTATCAACTTAAATTCGTCCACAGGCAACAACAATTAAATTAATCATTTTGAAATTTGAATTGGGATGTTAACAAAGGGCACACATTAAGAACATAATAAATATATATTTTTATTATAAACTTATATTGGAATAACAAGAATTGACATTCAATTTATCAACTGTATAATTAAATTCATTAATTGACAACAACACCTTTTTTTTTTTACATTTTTCTATAGCTTCAAAAAATTCTTTTATTAGACTCGTTATTTTCTTGAGTTGCTTTTTCCCATGTATCTACTAAAGCCCTTCACCATCATCTCTACCTTCACACACTCTCTACTTACTCTCTGACTCTGAAAATGACATTTTCCTTTCTCAAGAATCTCAGAAAACTCCAAGCTACTAATCTTCCCTTGTTCTACTGATCACTCACAAGTCACATTACAATGGGTGCTAGTTTCCTCTATTGCCTCAGAAAAAATGGAATGGAGGGAGCTTTCAAAGGAATAGGCAGTCAAGTCCTTGTTGTAGATCTTACATTGGAGGAGATGAATTTGTCTCTCAAGAATATTAAGATAGATCTACAACAAACTCTCACTAACGCAAAAAATGATCATATGGCAACAACAAAAGGTCTTTGGTCTTTTTGATGGAGAAAGAGAAAAAGTAGAAAGAGATTTGGGTTGGGGTTTTGGGGTTTGCATTGGGGCAAATAAGATGTAAATCCGGGTTTGGGTGTGTGTAACACCTCAAATTCCACATTGGTGGGAAATTGTGAGTGAGTCTATTATATAAGTGTGAACCAACTACTACTAATAACTTGAATTTAAGCTTTCGAAAGGCCTTTAAACCTTAACTTTTAATTTATTAACTGTCTAATTTTTTATAATGGCTTTTGCATCAACTTCATATCCTTCTACTTCCTATGTTTCTTACTTATTCTTTTATTTTCCTTCTGCTACATTGCCTTTAGTTTCATAAGAGATGTATAACGCTTCAAATCCTACATTGAGATAAAACTATGATTTTGATTGGTATGTAAGTATGAAGACGAACTATTATTAACAACTTGAACTTGAACTTTTGATGGTTTGTGGATCTTGGCTTGATGATTTATTTAGCCAATGGTGGACTTCAACCCAAGTTGTTTCAGTTGATATTAGAGAGGTTATCTTTTGTAGGTGTGGATTTATGCTGGCCATTACAGTCGGTGGTAGTGTGGACATCACTTGAGGTGGATATGGTGCTTAGGCCTTTTTTAACTATGATTGGGCTTGAATCCTTTAACACTCATTACACATTATGGCTAAAACCCTAAACCTTCACACTCCCTCTACTCCACTCTCGAATTCTAAAAATGGCATTTTCCTTCATAAAAAATCTCTCCAAACTCCATGCTTCTGACTATGTTTCTTATTTATTCTTTTTTTTTTTCCTTCTATTGCATTGCCCTTATTTTCATAAGGCATGTGTAATGCTCTAAATCCTAGTTGAAATGAAACTATGAGTGGGATTGCTATATAAGTATGAAGACTAACTACTATTAACAACTTGACTTTGAATTTTTGAGGGCTCATAAATCCTTGCTCAAAGAGTTATTTGGAGAGAAATGAAGGGCACTATTTAATAAGTTGGAGTCAAGTGCATTCTGGTTTCAATGTGCTCACCGATAGACTTGTGAGGCTTTCAAAAATTTGTTGGGTAATGCCAATATTCTCCACCCTGCAACATGTATTTGGATTGGGAGATACAATTTGTGGTACTCTCAGAAAATTACCCAATCCCCAATTACACCCAAATCTTACTCATAGTATTTTTGAATGTGAGACACACTCAAAAACACACTCAGCAAAGTAATTTTAACCACTCTGCTCTTGCTCACCCTCACCCAAAGCACCCGCAAAACTCTTGTATTTTCTAGAGCTCACTTTGCTTTGGATTGCTCTCTTGGTGTGATTTGCCAAATAGCCAAATGACCTTTTATAGCCAAATGCCAACCGCCCACAATGAATGCAATGGGCTATGAAGTCATAATCCAACCATGCACAATAAATGTTGCATGGAAAAAGTTGCAGCAACCAAATTTCCATTTCGAAGGCTACCATGAGACTTCCAATTTTTCAACAAAATTTGGCTACCATGAGATTTCCCATGCAACCAAATTTTAAAGGCTGAAATTTGCATGCTTTTTCAACCACCATATAGAACCCACATGCCGCAACAGTTATTAATACACAAGACTTCAAATCCTAAAATAAATAGAAAAGAATTTGAGAATTCCAATTTTTCAACAAAATTGCAGCAACCAAATTTCCATTTCGAAGGCTACCATGAGACTTCCAAATTTTCAACAAAATTTGGCTACCATGAGATTTCCCATACAACCAAATTTCAAAGGCTGAAATTTGCATGCTTTTTCAACCACCATACAGAACCCACATGCCACAACAGTTATTAATACACAAGACTTCAAATCCTGAAACAAGTAGAAAAGAATTTGAGAGTGGGAGGATTATCTTATCCATCCTTTAGATGCATTTCAAAAAAAATCTTCAACATCTACAATGGCCAAATAAGCAAGATGATCTCATGATTTGAAGTATTCAAAGACAATCAATCAGAGGATATATCACATATTAGTCTTTGTTCCAAATGAAAAAACATCGGAAATACAATGGCGCTCTTAATTAATCCCAAAAGTGTACTGATATTATACGAAGTTAAAGGAATCACTAGTTCTTACAGAGAGCAACAGCTCATAGAACTAATTAAACTTGGAAATAAACCTTAATTAGAACATTATTTCTAATGTTCAAACCTCAGATTTGTTGCTAACCTTAGAACATGTCTTAGTACATGAGATTTTGGAAAATACATTATAGTTAATAATTGACCATCTACCGGCCATTAATCTCCTTCGTGATGGCCGACATACAACTGGAACTCCTCGCAATCCCACCTTTCTTCGGCTCATTACCTTTATCGCTAGGATTTACTGACTTACTCCTTGTCCTACAACTTTTCTTCAAGATCTCCCTCATCGCCTCCGCCTGGTACAGCACTGGATACGTCCGTCCAAACCTGTTAAACCTAACACAAGCACTCACATGAGCGTTCAACGCCTCCTCTCGTTTCCCTCCGTTCTTCTCCCTCTCCTCGTTGACCGCCTCAGCACATAATCCGCACATGAACTTCCCCACAAACCTGTCCCGCACACCACTTACGTACTCCAGCGTGCACTCTTCGGACATCCCACAGCACTCGCACCTGGCATCCACGACTTCAGAAATGGTCGGGATAGCCGCACCTGTTGTCTGATGATCGATTTCAACAACCTTGCTTGGTTCAAACGATATGTCCGATCTTATTTGCTGTAGACTTTCCATGGAAAACTGGCTAGTGACGGTAGGTTGGTTGGCAATGTTGCTTCCTTCTTTGTATGGACCGATGACAGTTTCTGTGTTTGAAGCCATGGCGCGGGTACGATGATGAGGGAGTGTGATTTGGTTATAAGAAGAGACACGTACAAGAAAGCATAACGAATTTGACCAAAGCTAGATTATTGGAAGCTTAAACTTGAAGTGGAAATGATATGAGGAATACGGAAGCGGTTCGAGCATATAAATATGTAGATGATGTTGTCTTTAGCGTAAGGGGTCAATGTATGTGCAGTTGTGGACAGCTGAGAACTACAGTGTCTTGAGTAAAGCTAGATCTTTCGTGAAGATATAGGGGTTGGATGGAATTAAGAAGCTTTACTCAGAAAAATTACTATATTTATGTAACTTATTGATGTTTAAAAATATATATATAAAAAGTGAAAAAAGTAAAATTAACGTAAGAACTCCAAACTATATATATATTTTTTAGATCATATGGTTGATACATCTAAATATTTAAAATGTTATGATTATTTAAAAAATTATTTAAATATTTTAATAAATTTTTTAATATAAAGTTATTTAAAATATTTAAAATTTATTATTATTATTTTTAAAATTATAATTGTTCCTTTGTTAGCATATTCTAAATTCTTAATTAGAATCCCATACGGTAATAGAGAAATTCACGTGATGGTCTGCTGGAACCATACAAGTTTCGAAGTAGTTACTCTACTTTTCTATGTTGCAAGGGAACATGAAATTAATACAACTTCTAAAGAACTCTACACGCACACGGGAAGCCCAACACAGTCATGTGACATTGGAAAATTTTTATTGTGTTCAATTCATACATACTAACTCTCGAGCTTGGCATATGGGTGGATGAAAGTAGTATTACTTGCCATCCACTCAATCAAGTTTTGAGGGTTTTTGACTCTATTTTTTAAAAATTATAGTTGTTCAAAAAAGATATATATACTAGCTCTTTGTTCAATTTTAATTGTTTCACTTCAATTTTTAACTTTTAGAATGTTAATTTTAAATTAGAATTTAATAAAAGATATTGATGATAATTGAAATTTTTTATATGTAATTTTTGCAAAGTAATTTTCATTTTATAAAAAATAATTATCATTTATACACTACTTTAAATTGTTATAAAAAAATTAACATAGAAAAATCAAATATTCAAAGTATGATAACTAAGCTGAACAAATCCAACATGATTTTGAGGGTATTTAGTATAATAGTTTAAAATTAATGGTTAATGGTTTTATTTAATTCAATAAATAAGAATGATTGAATTATTAATATAATAGCAATTATCATCTATCAAATTAAACAAAATCATTGCATACAAAAAAAAAAGATTAAATAAAATTGCTAATTATTAATTTTAAACAATTATACTAAGTAACTTTTCAGTATCTTAGTTCAAGTTAATGGTATACTAAATTACCCCCTGGTTTCATAATATCAATCTTTTTTTTTTTAGCGAGAAATTTATAATTTTTAAACACTCTATTTATTTTTTAATTAGTGTAAAAAGAGTAAGCATTAAAGATTTTATTTTTTTGATGGGTTTACATTTAGGGCGGGAAGGTTCGAACCATAATCCTTGGATTAAGGGATACATCTTTCAACTTGATTTATAGTTATTAAATCACAAGATTTAAGTGTAGGATTAAAGAATTTATTTTAGTGATAAAAATAAAAAATTAACATTTAATGATAATAATAGAGTTAATTTATTTGTTATAAAGTTAGAAATTACGTGTCTTGGAGGAAAAGACAAAGAAGCTTAAGTAGCATAGGGTTGGGGGCATTAACCCAAAAAACCATACGATTGGATGTTATTGTTTAAAGAATTAAAAAGGGCGGCATGGTTACCTTCCAGG